CAAACTGGGATCCCAGCAGAAAGTCTTACATTCTTGTGTAACCCACACATTTCTCTACTTCCAAGTGTTTCCAAACTCTTGTCTTCCGGAACTGCCTCTTAGTCCACACACAGTCTCAGTGACTGTGCTGAGGGGAAAAATCTTGCTTTCATAGTCCTGTGATCCTGTTGTCTCCTCCTGTGGCCTCTCGCCCTGGACATTGCTGCAGGGATCCCTCATGGCCTGCGACTGGATACAGTGCAGGGCTGATTTGGTTCAGTGTCACCACTCTTCAGAGTTCTTGTGAGGATTACATGAGATACTGGTGGGGAAGATTACTTGTAAATTGTAAAGCATCTACCAATTTCAAGTGTTATTTAATATGACACACTATCGAGAACATAGGCATTAGAATCAGATAGCTCTGAATTCAAGATTCGCCTGTGTGAATCTGGGTAAGTGACTTTACTTCCGCTAGACTCCATTTCCTCATCTATAAAATGGCATAGCAATGCAGAGGGGTATACGTTTGCTCCCACTTGGGGGTACCAGCCACTTGTCTTCTAAGAGACTTCATAAGGCTGCCTTCATCATGTCATGAACTTAACATGGTCAAAACAGTAAAAGACTATCTGATTCTCAGCCTTGTAGGCTCAAATAGCTGTCTTAGAAGCAGCCAGAGAGCACGGCCATGCTGTAGGCCACATTCCCTGTAGCCACGTTCTCCAGGATGATGCACAAGCTCTGGATGTTTATTTATTATTTTATAAAGAGAATTGGCTATCCTGGAAACCAGACCACTTGTGTCTACATGACCAGTTCCTGCTCTCCCTATGGGTGGACCTTAGGGAAAGACAAATTGTCATCAGAATGCCAATTTATTTATTTCTTATGAGTCATAATTGTCCAACGAGTCAGTGAAAAGAACTGAATCCCTGTGACCAGAATAGCCTCTTCCTCAAGGAAGTCCTACACAGGTGCCAAATCACTATCAGAAGGTGGCTTGTGAGCATGGCACTAGATGACTCAAAGGTTTAACAACATTGGGACTTTGAATCTTTTGGGCCTTTCCTCCCCGTAGTGCATGGATGGCTCAGTTGGCATTTGCCTCCACATTTGTTGTTTTTCTCTACCTGCTCATGTCTGCTCTGAATAACCAACACAAGAAAAACCTGATACCGTCAGTTACTATTATGCAGTCAATCAGGTTCTATCAGGTCTTACAGGCCTAGGAGCCATTTATCTTTTTAAGATGACTTTCAGATAAGACAACTCTTCCCTGATCTGCATCTCCCTGCACTAACCCCCCAGTTTAACTCTCAGAAAGTAATCTTATTTCTTTTACTCCCAAGCTCTTGGGTCTCTTTGATGGTCCCAAGTACTGATAACCTGGCATATGAAAGTTGTCCTTCCAGCAAGTAGACAGCTCAGTAAATGCTGAGTTCCCTGCTTGTCTTTTCTTTCATGTAGTATAACAGCCCTTAAGACCCTATGGACCGTAGCCCTCTGCTATGTCACTGTGATTACGAGGATTAATACAAAACAGGACTCTAGTCCCTAAGGAGCTCAGAGTATGGTGATGAAGAGAACAACAATGTTTTGTTGAGCACAATAGCCCTATTGTTCCCAGCCCACAAGCTGTGGGATAAATATGGCCTCTCTTGTATTCATTCTTCTTGGCTTGTAGACCTTACCCACACAACTACTGAATCCACCCATCGCAACACCCTCCCAAAGATGTTCCAACACTCAGGAAGATTTGCAGACAGAAGTTTTGGTATCTACACTGCACCCCCATTATCTTCATTACCATTAGTCCACACCACCCCCATTTTTTATTTGGATCAAGGATATTGTCTTGCAAAGCAACTTTAGGCACCTCTTAGCTGCCTACCTTCACCCTTCCTGCTTCTTGTTGGTACTAAGTCTTTCCTATAGTATGATTCTGGAGCTTCCAAGGATTCCAAATATTTCTGAGGATCCCCAGGGGGTATCCCTGCAGATGTTTTCTGAAATGACTCTGTGTCTTCTAAGGCTGGTCTTTCTCCCATCAGGCCTGAGGTGAGGCAGTGGGCAGCAGTGTCTCCTGACTGCTCTGCAGAGTTCCCTGCCTCTACTTCGTCTGTGGGAACATGCTAGCCTGGCCCACCCAGCAGTGAGGTTTCAAGATTCCAGACCTTTGTTTCCTTTAGACTTTACAGAGGATTCATGAAAACATCTCTTCAGTTTCTAACCAGAGGAGCGCAAATACACGTCCTTGGTCAGAGCGGGGGACCAGCGGCCATTATCTGGTGTAGATTCCCCTCATCTTCTCTCTGAGCTAGATACCAGTCAAAATTTCCTTCATCTTTTTTTCAGCATCCAAACCCAGAAGTCGTCTTTCATGTTGTTATGTAAATAGATGACCAAGAGAGTCACTGGTCACCAAGTCCATATGAATCCAAGATTAGGCTTAGCTGTAGGGCTGCAATAGAAAGATATGTACCCAGTTCTACAGAAACAAGTGGGAGCATACTATCAGCTCAGACTTCATCTTTTGTCTCTTATTTTTTTTTTTTTTGAGTTGGAGTTTCACTTTGTCACTCAGACTGGAGTACAGTGGCCGGGACCTCGACCTGCTGGGCTCTGGCGATCCTTTCGCCTCAGCCTTCCAAGTAGCTGGAACTACAGGCACATGCTACCATGCCTGGCTAATTTTTGATTTATTGCAGAGATGAGGTCTCGCCAAGTTGCCCAGGCGAGTCTCGAACCCACGGGCTCAGGCAATCCACTCACCTCAGCCTCCCAAAGCGTGGGATTACAGGCTGAGCCACCGAGCCCGGCTATCTTTTCTCTTTAAAAAAAAAATGTTTTTTATTTTAAAGATGTGGGATACAATTCAGGGTCAGGTATACAAATGTTCACTACGCAGGTACCCTTGTTGATGAAGTATGCCCCCATCCCCGGCAGATTCCCACTAGCAGACTTCATCTTTTCTGCGAAACTATTCCTCACATTTCCACCCAAGTTAAGCATTTGTTCTTGAGTCACTCAGCAGGCATTTATCAAGTACCTAATACAGGTGCCGGGCACAATGTTAGGCTTCTGGTGGCACAGTTTCTAAGCAGAATCCTTATGTTCTAGGGATCTCTCTTATTCTGTCTGACTCCTGTGCTTGGAACTTCTCTGACCCTGAACGATAGTTTCATTATTGGCTAACTTGTATATCCCATATCAGTCTGCAACCTCCCTAAAGATGTGGCTCACACACTTCCGGTTTTAAATAAATTCAGCAATGTCCTGAATAATGACATTTCAGTTAACAGTAGACAGCATATTTGACAGTGGTCTCAAGATTATAATAAAGCTGAAACATTCTATCACCTTGTGGCATTGCAGCAGCCCTCGTTATGTTGTAGTGCAATGTATGACTCAGGTGTTTGTGACAATGCTGGTGTAGCTAAACCTACTGGGTTGCCAGTTATATAAAAATGTAACATTCTACCTAGGCCTTCCCATTCCCTCACCCCTCACTGACTCACCCAGAACAATTTCCAGTGCAAGCTCCATTCATGGTAAGTGCCCTCTATACAGGTGCAACGTTTAAAAACTCTTTTGTACCACATTTTTACTGTACCTGTTCTATGTTTAGATACATTTAGATACACAGATTCTTAACATTGTGTTGCAGTTGTCTACAGTATTCAGTACAGCAACAAGCTGTACAAGTTTGTGCAGTCTAGGAGCAATAGGCTACATCATATAACCTAGGTGTGTAGTAGTAGGCTATACCATCCAGGTTTGTGTAAGTTCACTCTGTGATGTTCACCCAGTGACAAAATTGCCAAACAATGTGTCTGTCAGAAAATAGCTTTATTGTTAAGCGACTCATTACTGTAATTGAATTGTCTGCTGTGGGTGCTAGCATCATCTGTTTAGCAGATTATCTTCACAAACCTGTAAATCTTTTTTCTGGAATAGTGACAGTGAGAGTCAAGTAGGAAGGACTCACAGCTGGTCACAGAACACGATACTTACAATCATGAAAACTGTGCTTCTCTGTGCCTTTTTAAAGTTGATTTTAAGGCTATCTGTTGATTAATGGGATCCATGACATCTCTTTTATCTCATGACATAGATGATGAAGAGGGAATATATTTTCTTTCCCTCAAATTGAAACTATCATTGTTTCTTTTGGATGCTGAATATAGACAAAAATCAATAAAGCAAAGATAGCTCCTCTTATCTGTACTGGAAATGTCAACACAATACATCTGATTGGTTTGCTTTGAAAATCTTAGTATTTCACTATAATTTCCCCAGAGTTCCCTTTCCCACATACCTGCTATAGGTGTGAGCCACTGTGCCCGACCTTATTATTTACTTTGACAAATAAAAATAGTATACACATCCGGCATGCAACATGATGTTTTGATATGTGTAAACATTGTGGAGAGCCTAAAGCAATGTAATTAACATATGTATTACCTCACATAATGATTTGTGTGTGCGTGGTAAGTGCACTTAAAAGCTACTCTCCTGGCAATTTCCAAGTACATATATAATTTGTTGTTATTAACTACAGTCACCATGTTGTATGACAAATTTCTTGAACTTATTCCTTTTGTCTAACTGAAATTTTGTATCATTTAACCAACATCTCCCAGGTGCCACCCAACTCATGACTGTTGTACGATAAAGAAGTTAAGCAAATAAACAACCTTTACATTTGCCCGACCTTTGAAGACTGATTCTCAACAATTCTGAATTAGCTGGACATTGAGATGATGTTGTGCTTCCAGGTGGACAAAGTCATGTTCACTTGCATGGCTGCCTATGTCCTTTAACACCCTGACACGAAACTCTGCTTTTGGCTCTCCTAAACTTTTGCTCCCCTCTTTCCATAGCTGACACACAGATATATTTCAGATTGTCATTTTACAAATGGTCAAATATGGACTGCCATTCCCTTTAGAGAGTGGGATCCAGCATGCTTAACCTTCGTGGTTATTTTCCTCCTTTTGATTTTGCAGCCTGAGAAAATGGCATGTAACATACCTAACCAAAGACAGCGGGCCATGTCAACAGCCGGAGAAGCTCTGTATGAAGTTCTTGGTCTGCGTAAGGGGGCATCAGCTGAAGAAATTAAGAAAACCTACAGGTACTGAGTTCAATAATGGCATTTCCTGCGCTACTAGTGATAGTTATTTTGTGATTGACAGGTGCCTCCAATTAAAGACATAACTTCTTGCCAAGACCAGTCATCCAAATTTGGACCCCATGTTCCCTCGTCTACTGCATGGGAGTTCAAAATAGACAGGAATGATATTGGTTTTATGAAATAACTCTCTGGTGATGCCAGGCCTGTGTCCTGGGCCTGAAGTGAGAGACAGAGGAAAGGGAAGGAGAGAGAAAGACAGAGATAGACAGGCAAAATGAGAGAACCAATTACAACCAACATCTGTAATTTACCCATACGCTATAGCATCATTGAATCTAGTATAAATTTTCCTTTCTTTTTATTTTCTTTCTTTTCTTAATAAAAAGTAATTTGGTGCAATATTTCAAGCCCTTAATTTTGTTCTTTCATATCGAATCTATTTCCAAGATAGCTATTTTGGGGAATGTTTGAATTACACCTTCATTTTAAAGCACTAAGGAATAAAAAATAATACTGAATACAAAAATAATTTGCTTACTGTAGAAAATTTTCAAATCACCAAAAATGAAGGCAATGGCATTTATCCATAATTCTACCTATAGTAATAATTATCATTGATATTTTGTTTCCTTCTAATCTTTTTTTCTGTCTAAAAAAGGCACTTTAAAGTCAGATTGTATTCATCTATATCTTCATCTACTTCTCTTTTTAACAAGGTCTTACCATGCAAATATCTTGGAGTTATTAAATAGTCTGATTTTTGGTGGCTGCAGTCTATAGTTATTCTGTAATTTATTTATTCACTTTATAAGCTATTATTTAATGTGTATGTTATTTTCATTTTTTCCTATACTTATCCTTGTACATAAATCATAATGCACACTCCCAATTATTCTCTTATTTGCATATTGAGGAATAAAGCTGTGCCTTCAGGAAAATGCAAATCAAAATATAAATAAAATCTCAGATTTTAATCAGTTACTTTTGGTTTGGTCTTGAATTGTGTTTTTAAAACTTATGTTTTTTAAAAAATACATGGAAGTTTAACATTTGTAAGTAGACAAATTTGTTAGTCATTTCTTTTATGGTTTTTGTTTTACCTGTCATAGTTAAAAAACCTGTCTTGATTACAGTACTATAAAAATAGTAACCCTTGTCTTATAGTACATTTGGGATCTTGCTTTCACACTAAATCTTTGACCTATTTGGAGCTTATTTTGGCATAAGGAATGAGGTAGTATTCCAGATTTATTTTTTTTCCAAACCACTAGCCCACCAATATTTATTGAATTCTCCATTTTTGTCTACTAATGGGAAATTCTTTAGCCTTGGATCAGAACCTTCACCATGTAGTAAGCTGTGGGAACTGAAATGTCTTAATGAAGTGTGTGTTGAAGACAAAATGACAGTGGTGCAAACTGCCATTTGGATCCAAATAGTTCTGTGAAAATGGTAGAGTCTAATCAAAGTCAATATCAATCTTCTAGTTTATACTACACTTAAGGTGTGAAGGAGAGAAAATTATTTGCTATTCCATTTTACCCTAGAGCTATCTGTTTCAAAAGAGTGTGCTTGAAAACTGTCAAGCCCCCTGTTGGTGGGTATCATTACTAAACTTGACTCTTGAGGCTTCAAGCTGAGACATTATGTTAGTGGGTAGGAGTGGGAATTAAAGTATTTACACTGTAAGCTTAATACCTACAAAAATGCTCCTCAAAATGAGAAGAAAAAAAGTGATATCCAACTACCTTGTAACTTTAAAATTCACTTTATAAATGCAACGTTTAATTGTCTTTATTAATTTTTTTTTTTTTTTGAGTTGGGGATCTTATTCTATCACCCAGGTTGGAGTGCAGTGGCACAACCACGACTCAGCCTTGACTTCCTGAGCTCAGGCAATCTTTCTGCTTCAAGCTCTCTAGTAGCTGGGAATACAGGTGCTGTCTCAGCGTCCTGAGTAGCTGGGTGTACAGATACGCCCCACTCTGCCTGGCTAATTGTTTTATTTTTTGTAGTGATGAGGTCCCAATTTGTTGCCTAGGCTGTGTCTTTATTAACTTTGTAAGCTAAAATTTCAGGTCATCTGTTAATTGAGACATTAATTATGCAGAGTTATTTGCAAGTTTGATAATTACAACATAAAGTCTTTTCATGTAATTAGTGTCTTGCTATTAATTTTGTTTTAATGTCATACAAATATTATTTTTTCAGCTGATTAGGGTACTAGTATGCTGCCCGAAGCATCTACTTTTAACTAAACTGAATATTTGTATTCTGCAAGTTATTCAAAATATATGAGCAAGCTGAAAAATCCACTGGCAATATTATTCTTATATTCGGGTATCTGGATCAAAGCAATCACAATATAGTGAAATCAAAAGTCAGTAATTTTAATAAAATTACTGTTGAATCCATACACTGCTTGACCTCTGTTGTAATCATTGGTTGTGCTCTTGAAAACAAGGCTGAGTTAGAAGTCTTCTTTCTTCTTTTACATGTTATTTTTTTTTTTTTGACTAGATAATATATTTGTTTGCTTATAAACAGGTACATTTTAAACGTCTTTTTTTTATCTTATATCCCCCGAGTCACCTTCCCAGGATAAACAATATTATCAATTCTCTGTGTACCCTTCCAGAGAGATCTTATGGCTATGTAAGCATATAGAGAGAACTTTAGGTCTGAGCAAGACTAGTCTCTCCCTGTTCTTCCCTGCTAAGCATCACTTGAAAAATCTTAAAATAGGCCAGGCATGGTGGCTCATTCCTGTAATTCTAGCACTTTGGGAGGCTGAGGTGAGAGGATTAATTGAGGCCAGAAGTTCAAGATTCCAGCCTGGGCAACAAAGCAAGACCTTTTCTAAAATTTCTTAAAAAAAAAAAAAAACACCCAAACAAAACAAAACAAAACAAAAACTTAGAAATAACACACAAAACAACCAAAAGAGAACTCTGAAAGGTAGAAAGAGGAAGGGTGATTGATTAGAAATCCTAGGACCAAAGTAACAACACTACTAGTAGCAGGGCAGCTTATGACACCCCCACACCTCACCCCAATAAGAGATCACTCAAGCCTGGCTTTTCCTAACACCTGATCTAGCAATGGAAAGCATCCAGGTAGCATTATTCTCCCTCCAAATTGAGAAGGAGTCCTGCTAACAGCATTAGACAAGGCTTGCAGAAACAGCAAGGGGCACCAACTGAATATCCTTCTAGCAGTACTCACTAGGGAAAGTACTCTCTTTTCCCACCAGCCTGAAACACCCCACTGTCACCTAGCACTTCACTTGGCATAGGACACTAGTAAGGAGAATTCTACCAAAATAAGCACCCAGTCCAGGGAGTGATGTTGTCCCTGAAGGCTAGAGATTCCCTTCCCTCACCTAACAGCACCTGGCAACCCAGCCTACTACCAGCAAGGACCAGTGGGAGTGTCAGAGGCAAAAGACAAGCCACACAGACCAAAAAAGTGCCACGACGACTCTTAAGAGTTAGAATTGTTATGGGAACCACTCATGCTAAACCTAAACAGGATGACGGCCTGCTAAAATAATAAAAAAAGTTAAATCAGATCCAGAATCTCCCAACAAAACAGCCAAAATATCTAGATACAATGTAAATCACCTATCTTACAAAGAACCAGGAAAATTACAACTTGAATAAGAAAATATTTGACTCTGATACTGAGATGAACCAGGTATTGGAATCATTTGACAAGTATCTTAAAGTAAAAATTATTTAAAAATTTATTAAAAGTTCCTATAAGAGATTATAAATTCTCTTGAAACAAGTGAAAAGATGAAAAATCTCAGCAAAGAAATAGAAGCTTTTTATTTTTTAAAAAAAATTTTAGAGATGAGGTCTTGCCAAGTTGCCCAGGCTATTCTCGAACCCGCGGGCTCAGGCAATCCTCTCACCTGGCCTCCCAAAGTGCTAGGATTATAGGCATGAGCCACCATGCCCAGCCAGAAGTTATTTTTTAAAAGAACCAAATGGAAATTATAGAATCAAAGAATAACAAGAACAATAAAACTAACTGGATGAGGTTAATAGTAGAGCAGAGATGACAGAAAATAGAAACAGTGAAGTGGAATCCAGATCAATAGATTGTATCCAGTCTGAACAATAGAAAAAAAATAAATTCAAAACAAAGAAACAGAGTCTGGGAAACCAGTGGGGCAATAATGAAAGATCCAACATTTATAGCACTGGAGTCCTAAAAGGAGAGGAGAAAAATAATGGAATTCAAAGAGTACTCAAAGAAGTAATGCCTGAAAATTTCCCAAATTTGGCAAAATTTCCCTGTTTCTTAAACCTACAAATTTAAGAAACAGGGAAAACTCTAAAAAGAGAAACCCAAAGCAATCCTTGTTAAGGAACATCCTAATTAAACTTCTGAAAACTAAAGACAAAAAATCTTGAAAGCAGCCAGAGAGAGAAACACACTACCTACAGGGGAACATCAATTTGAATGACAGTCTATTTCTCCTCTGAAGCAAAACAGGTCAAACAGAAGTGTTACATTTTTAAAATGTTGAAAGGAAATAACTTTCAACCACATATTCTGTATCTGGTAAAACAACATTTCAGGAATAAAGGGGAAATGAAGACATTATCAGAAAAAGAAAATTTAAAAGAATTTGTCACTAGCTGATCTACTCAAAGAATGGCTTAAAGGAAGTTCTTCAAAAGAAAGGAAATCATAAAATAAGGACTCTTAGATAATTAGGAGGAAAGATAGAATAAGAAAGAAAGCATAAATATGGGTAAATACAAAAGACTATCCTTCTCCTAATAAGTTTTCTAAATTATATATGAATTTTGGCACAAAAATTACAATACCCTCTGACTCTCAAGACAGTGATGTCTAAAAGTGGAAGGATAGGTCACTTGAGCCCAGAAGGTCGAGACCACGGTAAGCCTTGATTTTGCTACTGCACTACAACCTACACAGCAGAGGGAAAGCTCCTACTCAAAAATAAAAAACAAAAAACAAAAACA